CGCCCCCGCGTGCTGCCGCCGCTACAGACACAGCTGATCACATGATACGGTAAACAGCAATCACAGAGGCCTTTTACCACGTAATCAGCTGTGTCCAATGACACAGCAGATCACCGAGTAAATACAGTTGCCAGTTATCGTACTGCCGATAACCGGCAATTGTCAGAGAAGTGATTGGCACTGATGATCACTGCTCATCAGTGGTGCCCAGCAGTGCCACCCATCACTGCAGCATCATCACTGCCAGCACATCACTGCCGCCAATCCTTGCCACCCCATCAGTGCTGCCTATCAGTGCAGCCTCATCAACGCACATCAGTGAAGGAGAAAAATATACCTGTTTGCAAAATTTTATAATTGAAACAAAGAAAAACGTTCTTATTTTTCCAAATTTTTTGCTGGTTTTTTTTTTTGTTTATAGTGCAAAAAAATAAAACACCCAGCACTGATTAAATACCGCCAAAAGAAAGCTCTATTTGTGTGAAAAAAAAAAAGTAAAGATTTGTAAATGGTAAAGATTTTATTGAGGTACAGTGTTGCATGCCCGCACAACTGTCATTCAAAGTGCCCAGTAGGCAAGTGGTTAATTAAAAGTAAATAGTTACAATGATTTAAATCTCAGTTGGAGCCCTTTCTAATACATTCCTATGATTCTTCAAATGTAAATCTCTCATGCTGCAGTAATGATGTCCATGTGAATACCAGTATTGTGGCCTAGCTTTATGTTGATGAATGCTGCAGCACAAACATCCCCCTGTTTTGTCTATGGGGCTTCTCTTTTAGCCTAGCCATATATCCCAATTATTTCTGGCAGTGTAACCTATCCCACACAATAGCATATTTAGCATTTGGATATCTAGCAAGTATCAGTTGTTTGTGGCAGAGATCTACCAACGTACTTGAAAATTTCTTAACTTCATCAGGGATACCCCATAACTCTGAGGTGTCTGGGACGTGGATCTTTCAGCTAGCAGAGGCATCAAAATCTAAATCTGAGAAAGCTTTACTACCTTCTGATGAAACAGATGAGTGTCTAAAGCTGGGCATACACTGGAAGTTTTTTTTTTTCCATTCAGCCAGTGGGAAGATTTCTCCATCCACACAAACCAGGTGCATAGATGAATCTCCATTCCACAGCATCTGCTGCTTGTGTAGCTCATATCCTGGGTTAGAAGTCAGGTCTCCAAAGGAAAAAATTCTAGAATCTCCTGCAAGCAACAAAATGCGTGTTGGGAACCTCCGCGTTGGTTTTTATATCTGGCAGAGCTACTACCCAGGACCCTATGGCTTGAAACTTGGATGGGAGATTTCAAATCCAGGTTGGGAGGCTTCCTCTTGCAATGGAACAAGTTACCATACACCCTTACAGTCTGAACATCATTCGCAAGGGTTACCAGATAAAATTTTCATTTTGGCTTTTCTTGAGCTACAGGCTCAAAAATACGTTTTTGTTTTTTTTTTTTTTATAGTTTTCCAAGGGGAAAAGTGTTTTATCATATTTTCCTATGATTTAAACTTTTATATTGGATGAATCTGAACTTAAAACCTTTGGAACATATTAATCAGGTACAACGGTGGAGTTTATTTTTTCTTTACAATACCTGTTGGCGTAGTATGTGTATGCTGACAATAGATCAGAGGGATGCCAATTTAAATTTTCAGATTCAGGAGTCCTCGCAAAGATAACTAAGGTTTTCTGGGAAGGACATACAGGGGATAAGATCCAGCATTTTGTGGAACTTTCCTTTAACCTGTCATCAGCCCCACACTTTTTCATAAAATACTAGCAGAAGCCTCCAATGGAGCCGCAGATAGCAGTGTAACCCAATAACGGTTTTAATCCTTCCCCACGGTGTCCAAATCTAGTTTTGGCTCGACATACTATACATTTGTAGAAACCATCCATGTTCACCCATAAAAAAGAAACCTTCAGCACAGTACAGTATCATCCTAGTTGGTTTGAATCAGCAGTGATTGTCTGTGCAAAGGGTCAGCTTTCTGTCTTCTCAGACTTTTAGGGGAGACAGGACTATGGCCAATGGGAGTAGAAAATGTCTTGATACAGTGGAAGTAAACATGTCTCAGGCTTTTACTGAGTGAGTAAAAAAAATGACATAGTGCCTGTGGTCGGTATGAGGAGGAATTATCCCCCATCATTGATATTAGTGGGAGGATCATTGAACCATAATTGGTGTCAGTGGAAGGAATATTGCCCTATTGTTGGTGTTACTGGTAGGAATTATTATACAGGATTTATATAGCGCCAACAGTTTGCTCAGCGCTTTACAATATAAAGTGAGACAATACAGCAACAATACAGTTCAATACAAGAGGGCTTGGAGGGCCCTGCTCCTTGGAGCTTACAATCTAAGAGGGAGGGATAGTGCTCCATCCTTGGTGTCAGTGTAAGAAATAGTGCTCCATCACTGGTATTAGTGGGAGGAATATTGCCCCATCTTTGGAATGGAATGAATATTGGTGTTAGTGCAAGGAATGGTGCTGCATCATTGGTGTCAATGGAAGGAATAGTACCCCATCATTGGTGTCAATGGGAGGAGTAATGCCCCATCGTTGATGTCAATGGAAGGGATTTATGCCCTGCTGTTGGTGTCAGTGCAAGGAATGGTGCCTCACCGTTAATGTTGGTAGGAGGAATAGAGCCTCGAAACAGTGTGAGGGAAAATTGCCTTTCAGTACTTTTACCTGCATACATAACATTTGCAAGACATTTATCAAAGTGTTATTTTTTTTTTTGCATGTTGTTTGTTATTATTATTATTATACAGTATTTATATAGCGCCAAAAGGTTTGCTCAGCGCTGTACATTATAGTGGGGGACATAACATGAGACAATACAGTAAAGTAACAAAAAATACACGAGAGGTTCGAGGGCCCTGCTCTTTCGAGCTTACAGTCTAGGAGGGAGGGGATGGTGATACAGGAGGAGATGGCTGTGGGGGATGGAGTGGAGTGAGGAGTGGAGGGGATCGGCTGTTAGCTGAGGGTGGGGTAGGCTTCCCTGAAGAGATGGGTTTTTAGGGTGCGCCTAAAAGGTGAGGAGGGTAGGTGACAGTCTGATGGATTGGGGAAGTGAGTTCCAGAGGATGGGGGAAGTCCTGGAGAAGTCCTGCAGTCGGGCGTGGGAGGAGGAGACCAGGGAGCTAGAAAGTAGGAGGTCTTGTGAGGAACGAAGAGTACGGGTTGGGTGGTATTTGGGGATCAGGTCGGTGAGGTAGTTTGGGGTAGCATTATGAATGGTTTTGTATGTCAATGTTAGTAGTTTGAATTTTATACATGGGGCAATCGGAAGCCAGTGGAGGGAATGACAGATAGGGATATTAAGCTGTTCAGGACTGCCCTAAATACAAACAAATATATAAATTTGTGGTTATAAAAGACAATATAGATGTAGCTGTTTTACTAGAGTGCTATGTCATGACAGCAGCTGGAATACAGAGGGTCTTTCTTTCTCTTTCTGTTCTCCCCTGAACAGATCCACATCATTAACTAAATGCCAAGCCCTCACCATTGGTCCTCTTTGTTTATTTTGTCTAGTCAGATTGTTTTCTTTGTCCTTTTGGTTTTTTGCATATACAGTTGCAGTATCTAAAATACCATGTGTGTGTTTTTTGTTTGTTTGGTGACCTGTTGGTTGCACTTTGAGTTTGTTTGTATTTTTCAAAAACTATCCCGTGTACAATCCTAGTACACACCTGAAGGTGATGGTTCACTTTGTAAAGCGCTGTGCAAACTGTTGCCGCTATATAAATCCTGTATTATAATAATAATAATGTTTAATAAAATACGGGGGGGGTGGGGGGTGGATGTACTTATAATCTCTTGTATAAGGTTAATTAGGCCTTGAACCTTTCCATTGTCCCCAAAGCAAAAGGGGGCATTCACCCTATTCTGAATTCTGGTACTTAATATCTTCATGCAAATATAATATTCCACAGAATGGAAGGATGGTGTTATTCATTTAACAAAAATGGCCCAAGGGACAAAAATCAGCACAACGGATGGTACTTAAAGAATATGTAAACCCAACATTTCATATTCCTGATATATGCCTGCTGTGCCATGTATTTCTATGAAACCTTATCCTGTTTGTTGTATTGCTTCCTTTGTGTGGAATACCTGGTGCTCCAGCCAGCCTCTCTGCTTTTCTGTTAAAACTGACCACAATGGACAGGAGACCACAGCGTGGTCAGTTTTCTGGCTGTGCTGGGAGCGAATCCAGTGATCAGGCTTGTGACATGAAGTTGGTATAGAAATCACTGCTTGCAGGCAGCAAGGTACTATGGGATATATAGACCTTCGATATTGAAAGTAAGTGGCAGAGGAAAAGCTGCAAAGCATGCAGGAAATCCAATTGTGGAAAGAGATGACCATCAGACAGGCAGAACTAACACGAAAGGACAGCCATCCAAAGCAGTGTACTCGAGCTGACAAGGAGGAGAACTGTTAGTAAACAAAACAGTTCTCCTTCCCATCGGAGAGCCTCGTAAATCAGCAGGAGCCAGCGAGTAATCACTAGCCGGGACCCAGTGATTGGTGGCGCAGCTTGTGTGTGTACTCCATACCCAGAGATACAAAATCGCGTGTATATATACACAATTTTGTGCACCCGTGCCGCCCTGTAGCAGTATTTCTGCTATAGGGCGGTCGGGAAGCTGTTAATATGAACCAGACAGCAATTCACTCTGTTTAAAAAAGCAGTCTTGTCCAGCAACAGATCTTACAAGATACTGATTTTGTGTTCCTTAATGAATTCCAAGAAAAGGTTTATATGGTAAGTTTAAAAAAAAAAAAAAAGGCGGACCTCTTTATAAGAAGCTTGGCAAATGAGTAATTTTTGTGTGGAGGATTTAGATGCTCTTCCTCTCTAGGTCCATTGTAACATTCTACAGTGTTTGCTTGATGGGATATACTTTATAATATTTGTATATTTCCAAACCATGATATTTTGAAAGCTAAGAATTTTATTTCATTTGTTTCAGATTTTGACATTCGAAACAAAGAGCCCTACAGAATTAGCAGAACGCTTGCGAGCAGTGTGTGGAAATCAAAGCAACGCTTATGCACGCTTACTTGAATATCGCCTAAACGCCTTGCGTGGATTGTGGAATGCACAGCGCCAGTTGGCTTTGGAAGAACAACATGAGCGGGAGGGCTCCGATGAGGAAACCTTGGCATTACTTAAGCGACAAGGCCTGCTACAGCAACCAGAACAGGCTCCATTTACATCTCGAATGGGACTTTTGTTGGTATTTCCCCTTATTCAGTCTCAAAGTAAAACAGACCCCTCACTTTGTAACATAACAGCTGAGGTGCTATTAAATTGCCTTCGGGACTGTCAGCCTTTGAGCCTCACTAAAGAACCAGCTGACTGCTTGAATGGAATAGAGGCTTTGCTTTGCTCTTGGCTGGAAGACGCTTCTACTTTGGAACAGCAAGCCTCTTTCAAGCAAAAAGAAAACTCTGCTGCTGCCCTGGTTGCCTTGGCATGTGCCAGGTATGTAAGGAAGCCCATCAAATATCTAGAGCTCATTCATTTCTGTGTGTAAATTCAGTTTTGAGCTATTGGGTTCTGTGAGCATGCTTTTTTAAATCTAAGAAATCTGCAGACAGCCTGGTAAATTTGGAAAGGTGTTAAATATTGATGTGCAGAATTTCATCATTTTGTTTAATTTGACTCCAGTCCTGACCATAACACAGACATATTGTACAAAGTTGCTAACCACGCCCAAATAATGGTAATGGCTCAGGGACCTATCTGTCAAACTGCTGACACAGCTGCAAAAACACAGCGTTTTTTGGCATACAAGCGGTTTTTGTTTGTTTTGTTTTTTTACTGATGTAACTGCTGACCATTCGTTTAATTGTGCCTGTACAGAGTCATGTAAACATGCACTGCGTATAGATCAGTAACACAAAAACAGAAATCTGCACTGCCAGTCATTATTTTTACTTGCATATGCATGCTAATACATGCCCCACTCCAGTCATAATATAAACCTAGAAGAATTTTTACCAGTACGTATGCCCTTAAATACATACAAGTGCTATACAGCCCATCCTCGCATTGCTTCTTCCAGGAATGTCTGATATTTATACTTCAGTACAGTGTGCAATTACTCTTAACATAATAGTCTATTAGTCCTTAGATGAGGTGGCTGCATTACTTTTTTTTTTCTTTAATTTTTACTTGGTGATCCTGCTAGTAATGCAGGCCATAGACGGGTTGTTTATCGGCCGAATTTTCGTCCGCACGAAGAATTGGCCGATATTCACGCCGTTAGTGGGGCAATGCCGTCGGCCGTTTTTCGTGGATCTTCTCGTTTCTTTTTATTGGTCATGCTGGAAAATTGGTTGGTGGCAGCATCAGATTTTTCGTTTATCGGCCGACAATGGGCCCGTCTATGGCCAGCCTAACACTCTTCCTGTCCTAGGATGACCATGCTCGTACTTGTACTGTCCTGTATCTGTGGAGAAGTAGCATTGTCACACTAGGTCTGGCAGTGCTTGAGAATTACAATACATTTTCCCTTTTTTATCTGCAATGATAACTGGGAACAATGCTAAATGATAAGTCAGCCAACTCGGAGAGCACAGGCTAACAAGATTTTTATCAGGATCAATATGTAATCACATACCTGGAGCTGTTCTTCTTTAACAGGTCAAAAAGAAAAAGCTCTATTCCCTATACCCTACCCCCCCACTTTCCCCTTTAAGATCGCATACCATGTTTTCTTTGATTGGCTTGTATTTACAGAGCCTGCCACCCAGCTTGTAAGACTGCATTCAAACCTTAGAAAAGCATTTTTTTTTTTTGCGTGCGTATATAGGTGTTATTTTTTATATATTTTTTTTAGATATAACAACGCTTGAAGTGTGTGTATATGTATACAATCATGTACACTTCACCTCCGCAACATCTTCGAGATACGACCGTTCCTAACCCCAGAAACCACTAAGCAACTTCACTCCCTTGTCATATCACGCCTCGACTGTTGTAACTCCCTCCTCATTGGCCTACCTCATCGCTCAGGCTATCCCCCCTCCAGTCTATCATGAACGCTGCTGCCAGACTCATCCACCTTACTAACTGCTCTGTATCTGCCACCCCCCTCTGCCAATCCCTCCACTGGCTTCCAATTGCCCAATGGATAAAATTCAAAACACTAACACTGACATATAAAGCCATCCACAACTCTGCCCCAATCTACATAACCGATCTTATCTCTAAATATCACCCAAACCGTACACTCCGCTCCTCGCAAGACCTCTTACTCTCTAGCTCCCTTATCTCCTCCTCCCATGCTCCTCTCCAAGACTTCTCCAGGGCGTCACCCATACTCTGAACTCCCTACCCCAATCAGACTATTACCTTCTCTACTTACCTTTAGGCGATCACTGAAAACCTATCTCTTCAAAGAAGCCTATCCCGCCCTCTGCTAATACTGGAATCCTCTACTCTTCCAACCAGTCCATCCCCCACAGTTATTACCTATTGTGCCATTCACCCCTCCCTCCTAGATTGTAAGCTCCAAGGAGCAGGGCCCTCAAATCCCTTTTGTATTGAACTGTATTGTTGCTGTACTGTCTCCCACTATAGTGCTGAGCAAACCGTTGGCACTAAATATATATATTTTTTTTTTTTTCCTAAAGCGTTTTTTGTTTTTGCCCATGGTTCATGCTCAAAAAGTAGCATTTTGAACATTGGGTGTCAAGCTATAGGCACAGAGCACTCCTATGTAAACATCCACCATGTAAATACATGGGATTTTGTTTGTTGAGAGCTTTGTATCTTTGAGTTCCAAGCTAGAAAATGCTCAGGTGTGAATGGCGTTCCAGGCCCGATGACGCTGCCCGCGCACTAAACTACTCCACAGAGGGTGGTGTACTGCATCACACAGTTCCCTTTTTTTTTTTTCTTGCCAACATTATTTGCAGTGCACAAAGTGTCACTTTTTCATGTCACCACACAGCAGTATGTTGTTTTGATGTGCAGTGACATGCGGTACCTTCCTGTGCACTGCAATCAAATGCAGCTCAATCACTACACCTCTGGGTTGCATTGCAGTGAGAACAGGGCACATAAATAATTGTGGGTGGGGTTTTTTTTTTCCCAAACCCCATGCTTCCCTTTTAATATTTTCAATCTTCATTGCGTCCTCAGCTTTGTCTTCTGTCCTAGTGTAAGGATCCAAGCCACTTCATTCCAAAATGCTGATCTCCGCTCTTCATCTAAACGATTGCCAGACTGAGAAGTCCTGGTCTGCTGGTTAAGTGATGTGTGACATCTGTACTCTCCCTCCTTCTTTAGTCTGGCTGTACATCTCTGTGTATGTCTGACCTCCCACAGGAACTCACAAGCAGGGAAGAGGGAGATGAATCTAGGCAATAACGCCTGTCTGTGCAGTGCAAAGCATTGCAACAAATATGGGGGTTGCTGTTAAAGACCGCTCCTTCTTAATGTTCGTTGCCAGGCTGCCATGCTAATCTATAATTTCAGTACTTAGAATCACTGACCTGGAATACAAATGCAAAACTGGTCGCATGCTTGTTCCACTTTAATGATTCATCTGTTGAATGCAGAGACTGCCACACATCTAGTATTTTCAGGAGGCCTTTAATGATGCCTGCACTTCTCACGGTATAGATTTCCTATTATTTATAGTAACCCCAGAATAATTTCCAATTCAGAGAATTGCTGATTATGCGTGCGCCAGATACTGGCACTAGCAGATGTGGTACAGTGTGTAGTTAAATTGCATACACCGTTGCACAGAATATTCTGCACAGTGCAGAATGTTTATTCACAAGTCTGGCTGTACAAAATTACAAATTGTTCGGCAGGTAATGCATTTCAAACGTGTGTCAAGCTGTGTGCCCCAACATTCACTGTTAATGTCTACACAATTCAAAGTCTTCTTGTAAGACTGAATGACCGTATACCACCTGACCAGCCTACTAATACAGGGTTGTCTAGGTGATGTTACCAATATGAGCTCAGAATTGATCCAACATGATGAAAGTTTTACCATGGATCGTTTTCTTTTCCATAGGGTGGGCATGAAGCAACAGTTTGAGCAAGGAACAACAGTTCCTGCAATACTCATTGATTATTTTGAGGGAAGGAGGATCCTTTTTACCTATACCCACCCTGGCCAATCTGACTTTGAGTTGCATTTAAGAAACCTATAACAACCAACCACTTTGCTTATATTTACCCATTTGAATTACCTGTGTCTTTACTAACTTTTTTTTTTTTTATATTTAGGGGATCATTAAAAACCTTCATTCACACTGTACATTTGCTGCAGAAACAGACAGACTTGGGATCTCTGCCTGTGGCAGATGTACTCTATAGGTAAGTGTACCCACTTGTTTACAGTGTGATTCATACTGCTGCTTCATAGGTAATACATGCTTGGATGCTGTGGAGTGGAATAAAATCTGATTGTATTGATTTAAATTGGGTTCCTACACTTTTTACATAAGGTCACCTTTTAGTAACTTGTTACACCCATATTCAGGGTGTAACATGTTACTAAAGGTGAACTTCTCCTCTTAAGAGCAGTTAGGGTCAAGTCCAGAATTGCACTTTAAATTTAAAAAATGTTGGAATCTAATTTAAACGCTAACTCCAGCTTTGCTATCACTTTAGTTGGCCCAAATTAACAATTTCCTTTATATGAAACCACTATCAGGACTGTATAAATTGCATGTAGCATCAGTGTTATACAATGTACAGCACTTTGTTGCGGCAGCATTACCAAGACTTCCCATCTGCTTCCGTAAATAAAAAAAAATCTATTCAGGCTGAACGGTTAGCCAATCACGGGAAAGTTTGTATTTTATCAGTGACTACAAGGCCTTCTCTGAATGTTGAAGGTGGAGATTGTGGTGTCATCTACCAGTCTGATGCTATTATTCAAAAAGTGCTCACAGCAACCGGAGAAATTAGTAAGGGAAATTTGGGCTGCTTAACCCAAACAAACCATTCTAAGTGAGAGCAATGCTGGAGTTAGGCTTTAAACTTGAGGTCGGCCTCCTGTGGTCCCCAAGACTAGCAAAGGGATAGGCAGCACTAGAATACAATCAGGTGTGCTTTAGGCTAACTCCAGGCTAAAAAATAATAGTGTATAAATTCAAAAACCTTGTGTATTCTTATTGGCATCGTGGTGTCCTTTTTGTACGTTTCTAACAGATCTATGCAATAATCTCGCATGAAACAAGTCCTGTTCTTTGCCTCTGTGCAGGAGTTGCCCAGAATAAAAAAACTGGTCACTGCTGTTACTTTCCTAGAGTAAAGTCAACTCACTGAGGCAAAAGATAAGCTGCATTTGCTGACAAATGTTAGTTGACTGCTGTCCGAGTAATCTGGTGGCTTCAATACATTGAGTCTCTAAAACAGATAAGACAGTTGTGATTTTGGCTTTATAGAAGTGCTAAAAACAGAGACTACCAGGCAGTTGCCTTTTTGAGAGGACTCCACGGTCACCACTTGTTTCAGTATGAATATAAAGCCTTTTCAGTGTTTTTGATTTTGTTTTTAATATGTTTATGAACTTTTCAGAATGATGTACAGTGCTTTGAAAAAGTATTCATACCCCTTGGCATTTTCCACATTTTTGTCTTGTTACAACCAAAAACGTAAATGTATTTTATTGGGATTGTATGTGATAGACTAACACAAAGTGGCACATAATTGTGAAGTGGAAGGAAAATGATAAATGGTTTTCAACATTTTTTACAAATATCTGAAAAGTGTAGCGTGCATTGCATATCTAGAGAGTGAAATTTTTAGTATGTAGCTCAAAAGAAGGTCATGTACTTTTTTTGAGCTGCAAGCAACCCATGATTAGGTGTGAACAGGCATAATTGAAAACCATGGGATTTGGAGCTTAAAGTTTACGCAAAGTTTAGGTATAAGTGGGCCCCCAGTGCTGAAGCTGTCACATGACCGCTGAATACTATAATATTATTATTATTATTATACAGGATTTAGATAGCGCCAACGGTTTGCTCAGCGCTTTACATTATAGTGGGAGATAATACAGTAACAATACAGGTCAATACAAGAGGGATTTGAGGGCCCTGCTCCTTGGAGCTTACAATCTAGGAGGGAGGGGTGAATGGTACATTAGGTAGTCACTGGGGGGGGGATGGAGTGGTTGGAAGAGTAGAGGATTCCAGAATTGGCAGAGGGCGGGATAGGCTTTCCTGAAGAGGTTTTCAGTGATTGCCGAAAGGCAAGTAGAGTAGGTGATAGTCTGATTGATTGGGGTAGGGAGTTCCAGTGGATGGGTGATGCCCTGGAGAAGTCTTGGAGACAAGCATGGGAGGAGGAGATGAGGGAGCTAGAGAGTAAGAGGTCGAGGAGTTTGAGGAAGAGGGGACAGGGTCCAGGGGGCAGATGGTGAGGCGGGCTTCTGAGAAGATCTTCAGGACCTCTTCAGTGGTAGCAAGATCAAAGGAGGACAGTGTTGATGGAGGTATGGTGTGAGGAATGCTAAAGTGGGGTGGGTGTCTGTGTAGTGGCGATGTCCCTACGTATTGTGTCGATATAGGCAAAAAGGTACTGATTAGTGGTTTTCATTAATGTAGTTTACGCTAATTGCTTAGAATGTGCCAGTACCACACCTGGAATTTTTAAGTTGAAAAAAAAACAATTTAGGTTTATGTAAATTTTTAAATACTTGAATATCCATAGCGTGGCCACTTGATATTTTGTTCCTGTTATAGACAATGCAATGGTTTATTTCACTTCTAGTACAATAGCACTGGTTCTCTCAGCTATTGAGAGGTGTGTCTGCCAGACTGACAGCAGCTCAGGCTTTCACTGACTGACTGCCCACTGGGCCTCAGCCATCTGCTGCAACATTCATTCTGCATGGGGGAAGGGGTGCTGAGTATGAGAAATATTTATTGGTTAGCCCAAGTACACCTTTTGTCATTTAATTTCTATAGTATATAGCTATAGGTCCCTGGAAGCTCCTTATTGTAATTAAAGGCAACCAAATGTGACATTTTAATCGCCACTAAGCCTTGTATGTATAGTCTGTCCTGGCTTCTTATGTCTTTCATATTACAACAGTTGGATCTCTCTGCCATAGAACCTTTTTCTCTCTGACACTGTCAGATGACATTTATTTCCCAAGCATCTCTTTAAAGGTAGCCACACATGGCTTTGGTGGTGCAGTCTCCATGGCCCTATTGTATCCAGGCATCCACAATACCTGTGGCTTCTTGAACACACACAAATGGTGAATGCCTCTGATAGGTGAGGTAGGCAGAAGATTAGTACAGCTCCAGACATCCAGTCACTTCTATGGCCTGCTGTATGTGCCACCTGCGCCATCCTGAGCGGCAAAAAATGTGGGGATTTTTCGTTGGAGCTTGCTGCGTGTGTGCGTGCGTGCGTGCGCTCTGTGGGACTTTTCGTATAGTGAAAAATTTGTGAACCGAAACGCCATTTCCCATAGGGATGCATTGAAAACCAGTTAATCCGTTTCGGGGAATCAGAAAAAAGTAAATGCTACTAAAATGCTGCATGAGTTATTTTATGAAGTCATGCGGTATATTAGTAGTGACAACCATGTATTAATGTTAAAGGTTCCCCACTGACAGCTGAATGTAAAAGAATTGCCAACAATTAAAAAAATAATTTTTTTAAACTCCGTGTGGGGGTCCCCCCTCCCATCCATACCAAGCCCTTTGGGTATGGTATGGATTTTGAGGGGAACTCACGCTAAAATTAAAAAAAAAAAAAAGAGTGGGGGTCCCCCCAAAATCCATACCAGACCCTTATCTGAGCATGCAGGTCAGGAAAGGGGGGGTTGGTAGCGAGCGTGAGTGACCCCCCCCCCCCTTCCGAACCTTACCAGGCAACATGCCCTCAACATGGTGGTTGCCCCCTTTATGTGATTGAGTATGGTTTGACCGTTCTTAAATATGTAAGGGGCAGGGACACCCGGGGACAATGATGTCACATGGGGTAGAGTCACTTGGATGATGTCCCCGGGTGGCCCCGGCCCTTAAATATTTAATAACTGTCAAACCACCGGCGCAGGCAGAAGGCTGGAAGCCATCGTCTGGAGTGGAGCCTTTTTTTTTTTTTTTTTTAATTTTTTCGGGGCAGTGGCGGTGACAGTGGGCATCGTGATTAATGATGGATCTACTGCGGGGGGACATTTTATTTTTTTTCTTTAAAAAAAGGACTCATTCACATGGGGGGGGGCAGGGATCTGGGGGCTTGGTATGAATGGGAGGGGGAACCCCACTCCATTTTTTTAAAATTTATAATGGTGCTAGTTTTTAAATGTGAGTACCGCTTTTTTTTTTTTCTTCTTCTTCTTCACTATAGCTCAGAAACTCAGATGTCACTTTCCCCCCAGCTAAAAGAAAGGTTTTTCTTTTAGTTTATTTCCGGAGTTAAGAGAAACAATGTATCCTTTTAGTTTCTTAATAGAAACAAAGTTTCCGTTAACTCCGGGGAAAGTGACGGCCAATTCTGTCAGCTATAGTGAAGAAATAAAAAGGCCGGAAATTGCATTTAAAAATTAGCACTGACTTACACTTCGTATTGCTAAAAAAATTTGTAAACCGAGGCATTATTTTCAATGGATTTCATTTGTAAACCGAAAATTACGTTAACCGAGGCATTACTGTATGTAATATATGTTTTTTATATATATATATATATATATATATATATATATATACAGTCATGGCCGAAATTGTTGGCACCCTTGATATTTTTCCTGAAAATCAAGTATTTCACACAAAAAAGGTATTGCATTAACACATGTTTTGCTATACACATGTTTATTCCCTTTGTATGTATTGGAACAAATATAAAACAGAGGCAGAAAAGCAAATAATGACATAATGTCACACAAAACCCCAAAAATGGGCTGGACAAAAGTATTGGCACCCTTAACTTAATATTTGGTTGCACACCCTTTGGAAAACATAACTGAAATCAGTCGCTTCCTATAACCATCAATAAGCTTCTGACACCTCTCACCCGGAATTTTGGACCACTCTTCCTTTGCAAACAGCTCCAGGTCTCTCTTATTGGAAGGACACCTTTTCCCAACAGCAATTTTAAGATCTCTCCACAGGTGTTCAATGGGATTTAGATCTGGGCTCATTGCTGGCCACTTCAGAACTCTCCAGCGCTTCTTTGCCATCCATTTCTGAGTGCTTTTTGACGTATGTTTGGGGTCATTGTCCTGCTGGAAGACCCAGGATCTTGGACGCAAACCCAGCTTTCTGACACTGGGCCCTACAGTGCGACCCAAAATCCTTTGGTAATCCTCAGATTTCATGATGCCTTGCACACAGTCAAGGCACCCAGTGCCAGAGGCAGCAAAACAACCCCAAAACATCATTGAACCTCCACCATATTTTACCGTAGGTACTGTGTTTTGTTCTTTGTAGGCCTCATTCCGTTTTCGGTAAACAGTAGAATGATGTGCTTTACCGAAAAGCTCTATCTTGGTCTCATCTGTCCACAAGACGTTTTCCCAGAAGGCTTTTGGCTTACTCAAGTACATTTTGGCAAACTGTAGTCTTGCTTTTTTATGTCTCTGTGTCAGCAGTGGGGTCCTCCTGGGTCTCCTGCCATAGCGTTTCATTTCATTTAAATGTCGACGGATAGTTCGCGCTGACACTGATGCTCCCTGAGCCTGCAGGACAGCTTGAATGTCTTTGGAACATGTTTGGGGCTGCTTATCCACCATCCGGACTATTCTGCGTTGCAATCTTTCATCAATTTTCCTCATCCGTCCACGACCAGGGAGATTAGCTACAGTGCCATGGGTTGCAAACTTCTTGATAATGTTGCGCACTGTGGACAAAGGCAAATCTAGTTCTCTGGAGATGGACTTGTAACCTTGAGATTGTTGATATTTTGCCACAATTTTGGTTCTCAGGTCCTCAGACAGTTCTCGTCTCCTCTTTCTGTTGTCCATGCTTAGTGTGGCACAGACAGACACACAATGCAAAGGTTAAGTGAACGTCTCTCCTTTTTATCTGCTTTCAGGTGTGATTTCTATATTGCCCACACCTGTTACTTGCCCCAGGTGAGTTTACAGGAGCATCACATGCTTGTAACATTCTTATTTATCCGCAGTTGTGAAAGGGTGCCAATACTTTTGTCCAGCCCATTTTTGGAGGTTTGTGTGACATTATGTCGAATTTGCTTTCTTTCCTCCCTTTTTTTGTTTTGTCCCAATACACACAAAGGGAATAAAACATGTGTATAGCAAAACATGTGTTAATGCAATACGTTTCGTGAGAAATACATGATTTCCTGGAGAAATATCAAGGGTGCCAACAATTTCGGCCATGACTGTATATATATATATATATAAAAACAGGTACACTTTGAAAACACATCAGATCTCAATGGGGAAGAATCTCATGCTGGATCTCTATACTTATATGGACTGGGTAATGTGTTATGAATGTAAGCATGCCCTATCATTTGATGGTAATGAAAATTATCAACCTAAAGGGGACTGATTTCAAAGACACCCCGAAAATCAAAGTTCAAAAAAATGATGCAGCAGGCTAGTCCATTTTGCAGAAATTTCATTAAAGCAATCAAAATGGTGCCCAGTAGTTTGTATGGCCCCCACGTGCCTGTATGCATGCCTGAAAACATCGGGACATGCTCCTAATGAGACGAGGGATGGTGTCCTGGGGTATTTCCTCCCAGATCTGGACGAGGGCGTTGCTGAGCTCCTGGACAGTCTGGGGTGCAACTTGGTGGCATCAAATTGACCGAAACATGATATCCCAGAAGTGTTCTATTGGATTTAGGTCAGGCGAGTGTGGGTGCCATCCAATGGTATCAGTTCCTTCATCCTCCAGGAATCATTCTGCATACTCTCCCCACATGAGGCATGGCATTGTGGTGCACCAGGAGGAACCCCGGACCCACTGCAGCAGTGTAGGGTCTTATAATGGGTCCAAAGGATTTCATCCCGATACCTAATGGCAGTCAGGGTGCCATTGTCTAGCCTGTAAAGGTCTGTGCCTCCCTCCATGGATATACCTCCCCAGACCATAACTGACTCACCACTAAAACGGTCATGCTGAACAATGTTACAGGCAGCGTAATGTTTTCCACGGCTTTTTTTTTTTTTTTTTTGCGGACAAAGTTAAAGGCTTTCAGTCCTTACCATAGTTAATTAGAGAAAACGTAAACCCACTGTGCATTCTACATCACAGAGACATCATTAAAAAGGAAACTGGGAGTCACTGAATCACCATTCTGCTTGAATCCATCAAAAACACTGGCAGAAGATCACACGATCCATGCAGAGTGCTTTGCTCATGTTTTCTTTGCCAACAGAGAAGATCACTAACAAAAGAGAGCCAATCAGCAGCTCTGACTGAACAGTATCCCTCCGTTCCCCTTCATTCACTGTGCTCACGTGAACAGCTGCTAAAGGAAGAGGGGGGATTTATTTTGGATTAAATCTGACAGATGTGTATTTTGGAGCGCTTTAGTGATAAATGTGTGTATGTGTTCATATGTAGATATGTGTATATTTACTGTGGGGTTTTTTTTTTTTGTCCACGGGGAGATTTCCCTTCACCTCCTGTCCTGGAGACGCAACAGAAAATGATTGGAAATCCCACCACAGTGAGAGTAATTTTCTTCTTGGTTGACACCAGGACATTTGTCCTAATTGGATGGTTTGTCCTTGCTACTTGCTTTGGTGATAGCTGTAAAATGTTTTTCCCCTCATTTTCTGTCCCAGTGGCAGTGATCACCAGGGCAAATAGGGTGAAGGTATCCATCACGAACACAAACCTGACAGAGGCTCTAACCCTTTCATATTCTATATGAAACAAAACAAGAACATTTTTTTCCTATACATGCACTTTAAGAAAACCTTTTGATTTTGGGAAGTGGAGGTATTTAGTGTGGTACAGGGTCTAGTGGGTGGGTGATCTTATCACTGTACATAAAACGTTCCCATCTTACATAAGGCGCTGTCAGTCTGAACTTCCTCAGTCCTTCATGGCGGTGCCAGCCATCTCTTAGAGAACACTGGGCCTTTTCAAACAACTCTGTGTGTTTTAACTGTTTGATACCTCTAACAGAGCTGTTAAAGACTGCATCCTCCATTTTGACACCAATGCCATTGCATAGAATAGGCTCAGTTCATTCTGTTATAACAATTATTTGACTATTTTTCATGAGAAATTAAAAAATAGATGGCTAAAAATGATTACCCTTATAGTAAATTGTGACTGTCCATTGCCAGGGTTCCCTTTGCCATCTCATTTAGTCCTTTAGGTTTTAAATTGTGATACTTTGGCAGCATAACTAAGCTTTTTGCTTTCCTTGTCTTTTATTTTAATGATTCCATTGGTTGATTAAAGTTTCCTTTACTGTTAAGGTTGCTGCTGCTGGAAGGAGGGCCAGGATCTCCCTCTTGTTTACTGGGAAGCAAGCACATTGTATCCTGGGGTTTCGAGGATATGCTTCCAGCTCCTGATGGGACCAGTGGTGCAAATAATGAAAACAAAGGTAAAGCATCATTGAAACAATGGGGAGAAACAGCAGGGCACAGCTGTAATACTGTTTTTTAGAAAAATTTCTTTATCTTATTTGAAGCATTATTAAACCCAAAAGCAAACCTCATATTGTAGGTTACCTATTCTTAGATGTGGTGGCTGTATTCATTTTCATTTTTAGACTTCCTATTATTTTCATGTGGTGATCTGGCCAGTAAGTCTATTGTTTTTCAGAAGAACAAACTCTCTTCCAGATGGACAAGTTTACAAGGATGAGACAATCCATTTAACACTGACAGGGGTGCTTACAATGATCCGCTTTTATTTTTTTATTTGCGTAAAACCGTTCTCCCAACAGGAAACAGTGTAGTGATAAAGTATTTGCTGGAGTTTGTCTTTAATTTGTGTATTTAAAGTGTTACTAAACCCAGGACCCTGCATTCACTATATCTGGTCTCCCACAGTACACACAACATGGAAATGCAATTATTTTAGTAAATATAAACTGCTAAATACCTTTTCTCATCAGCGGTTAGCGCAGTCTTGTGACTTCAGCAGAGCACTGGTTAAAGCTTGTAGGAGGAGTTTTCTTTCTGCTCTAGCAGAATGTGAAACCCTTGACCCTCTGTTCTGATTGGCCCTGTGCTGATCAAATGCACTCTCCCAAGAAAAAAAAAAGCCTAGCAATACACATCAAACTGAGCATGTGCATGTGACTACAGGTTCAGTCTGTATTAGGTGGTCATTTCAACAAGAGGAGGGGCAGAGAAGAAAGGATCAAACAGCCTTTTTACACAATGCAGAGGATTAACCCCTTAGGTTCCACAGTGGGTATAACAAGCATGCTTTACTGCATATACAGACTGATTTTACTGTTGTGGGTTTAGTAACACTTTAAATCTTCTAGGACATTTAAAACACTCCTCCCCCCCAGACTGACAATACTGCTGTCTTCTGGGGCCCCTGTGCTCCTTCTTCCAGAGTTGGGGCACTGTAATATAGGAGATGTGTTACTGATCAGATCACCAGGTGTAAAGAGAAGGGGAAAAGCCAAAGAAAAAGAAAACTAATGCTGCCACCATATCTAATGTTTGGTAAGCTGTAGTATATTAAATATTTGGGGGGTGTAATACTGCTTTATTGTGATTCATATATTCGTAAATGGGGTTGTTGCATATCTGTACAATATTTAGTCTGATTTGAGTGCTGAATGCAACCATTCATTGTGTTTTTTTTTTCCCAATGTTTCTAATTCTAATGTTGTGTGTCCTACATATGTGGATATTGCTGTGATATATAAAACTATTAGAATAGTTTTTCACATTTTTGAATGGAGTGCCCTTTTAAAATTATGTGCAGTCTAGAGGCACCCCATTTTAGAATGGGGTGCCTCAAGGCTGTCCTTAATTTTAAAGGGTTCCTTGGCTGAAAAAAGGTTGAGAATTACTGAACTAATCATTAGTGGGTCAAATTGACGTTTGTTTTTGACTGCAGTGACGAGAGAATTTTTCTTGAACAATTTCTAACAGTGTATATGGTTTTCATTCCATAAAGTCCATTCATATAAAAATCAAATGTTAAAAGGAAGCAAAATCTTTTGAACAACTAACAAATGTTCTGAGAATTTTCGTACAAATTTTCCTTAGACTTTTCCTAACCGCTTTCTTTTGAAATTCTATTCATCTATGGCCAGTTTAACACTGTGCATCTGCTGCTCTGAAATACTAAGTGGTGTTTCTAGCCCTCCCTAGTTCTCCTCTTGGACTATAGGACATCTTTACCATGTGTTATGTAAATGGAAAGGTATTGTGTAGTACAGCAGACAAGAACTGGGCAGGGCTTAAACAGGAAGTTAGGAGCTCACTGGACACTATTCTGCACTCATACTCCTGGACCTCTCTGCTGTCTTTGACACATTGGACCTCCCTCTCCTCCTCAAAAAACTCCACTCCATTGGTCTTTGTGACTGTACTCTTCGCTGGTTCTCATCCTACCTATCTTACCACACCTTCAGTGTCAATTACAATCTCACTTCCTCCTCTTCCTTTCTCTGTTGGAGTCCTCCAAGGTTCTTGGACCTCTCCTATTCTCGATCTGCACCTCCTCCCCGGGTCAGTTGATAGCCTCCCATGGCTTCCAATACCATTTCTATGCTGATGACACCCAAATCTATCTCTCTACTCAGGAGCTCACTCCATCAATCTCCACACTCATCACTAATCTACTAACAGACATATCAGCCTCGACGTCACACCACTTCCTTAAACTCAATCTATCCAAAACCAGCCTCGTAATATTTCCTCCTCCACGTGCCTCTTTCACCAACTTCTCTGTCAAGATTGAAGGCAAAACTATCAACCTGTCCCCGCATGCCAAGGTGCTAGGTGTTCTCCTGGACACATCATGAATGCTGCTGCCAGACTCCTCCACCTTACCAGCCGTTCAGCGTCTGCTACTCCTCTCTGCCAATCCCTCCACTCGCTTCTGCTCTCTCCGTTCCTCCCAAGACCTTCCGTTCTCTCGCTCTCTTATCACTTCCAACCATGCTCGCCTACAGGACTTTTCCTGAGTCTCTCTCATCCTATGGAATTCTCTACCCCAATCTCTCTGACCATCTCCTTCTCTGTCTGAAAAGATGGCTTTTCAGGGATCATCTAAATGCAGACAAGCCTTTCCTGCCCCCACCTAATATACCGTATTTGCCAGCGTATAAGACGACTGGGCGTATAAGACGACCCCCCTACTTTTCCTGCTAAAATGTAGTGTTTGGGCTATACTCGCTGTATAAGACTACCCCTCTTCCAATGCACACCAGTGGGAGGAATAGTGCCCCATCATTGATGTCAGTGGGAGGAATAGTGCCCCATCATTGGTGTCAGTGGGAGGAATAGTGCCCCATCATTGGTGTCAGTGGGAGGAATAGTGCCCCATCATTGGTATCAGTGGGGGGAATAGGTGCCCCATCATTGGTATCAGTGGGGGGAATAGGTGCCCCATCATTGGTATCAGTGGCAGGAATAGTGCCCCATCATTGGTGTCAGTGGGAGGAATGGTGTCCCATCATTGGTGTCAGTGAGGGGTGGAATAGTGCCCCATCGTTGGTGTCAGTGGGGGGTGGAATAGTGCCCCATCGTTGGTGTCAGTGGGGGGTGGAATAGTGCCCCATCGTTGGTGTCAGTGGGGGGTGGAATAGTGCCCCATCGTTGGTGTCAGTGGGGGGGGGGAATAGTGCCCCATCGTTGGTGTCAGTGGGGGGGAGGAATAGTGCCCCATCGTTGGTGTCAGTGGGAGGAATAGTGCCCCATCGTTGGTATCAGTGGGAGGAATAGTGCCCCATCATTGGTATCAGTGACACCAATGATGGGGCACTATTCCTCCCACTGAGACTTGCTGACCCTGTTCTCGTATGGTGCTGCTGCAGCCAGCATATGTGGTTGCAGCAGCACCTCTACACAGAACACTTACCTGCTGCTGCTCCGGCACTCAATTTTCGTGGGGCCGCTCGGCTCCGCCCCCTCGCCGGTGATTGGCCGCCTGTGTGCCTTTCCTGAGCTACAGTTCTGGCGGCCAATCACCGGTGAGGAGGCGGAGCCGAGCAGCCGCACGAACATCCAGTGGCCGAACTGAAGGAGACGCCGCGCTTCCTGGACCGGATCGTCGTGGGACTGGATCCAGGTAAGAGACATCAGCCCCTGCAAACCCCTGTACTTAATGCCGCAGCCCCCCTAACATGTGTACCGGCGTATAAGACGACCCCCGACTTTTGAGAAGATTTTCAAGGGTCAAAAAAGTCGTCTTATACGCCGGCAAATACGGTATGTACTTTTTTTTTCCTCCATCAGCTCATCCCCCACAGGTATTACCTTTTTTTGTATCAATTGACCATCCCTTTTTAGATTGTAAGCTCTAAGGAGCAGGGCCCTCTGTTTCCTACTATATTAAATTGCTTGGTAATTGTACTGTCTGCCCTCACATTGTAAAGTGCTGAGCAAACTGTTGGCTCTATATAAATCCTGTATAATAATAATTTGCATTATTATTATACAGGATTTATATAGCGCCGACAGTTTATGCAGCGCTTTACAACAGAAATGCTGTTTCTTCTGACAGGAGAAAATCCGCATTTAAAAACTGACCTAAGGTGCGTTTTTTTTTTTTTTTTTTTTTTTTTTTTTTTTATTTCAACCCAGTTTAGTGGTGTTTACTGTTTGGGCATTTCTTTAATTTGCCAGAATTTTACTTTATTCTCGTTATTGAAATTAATAAATGAAGTGCTAAATGTGTCTAGCATTTAGATGCGTTAAGCAGTGTCAAGTGTTTTTTTTTTCTGCCAAAACTCTGCTACTCCTGGACACACTGGCAGTGGGGTTTTTTCCTGCCTCTAAATTCTCCTGCCACTAAACGCTGCTAAAAGCCTATGTGTGCATGGACACATAGGCTGACATACAGAGGAGTTTAGAGGTAGAGAAAAAAAACCCGCCAGACACCCCTAGGAGCAGCTGTAAAAACATCCAATGTGTATGAGACCTAACAATGCTTCTTGGTGCAATTTTGTCAATTCTTCTACCCATGCACTCTCCTATTTACAACCTAAATTGTTTTGCAGCAGTGTTGTAATTAAACAATTCAACCCTGGGTCACCTTATTCGTTTTTTTTTTTTTTTTAATTTAGATGCAGATTTGGGTCGCTGCTTGGCCTCAGATGGGCTTTACTTATACACAACTAACTCTGTGGGGAGAGGGTTAAGCAAGCTGGGGTCAGGACTTCACGGCACTTTACGGTAAGCCTTTTATTTTTTTTTATGTATAACATATCTTGTAAGCAGAACCATTTGCAGCCTTGAAAATAGTTTTGTTTTATACAATTCTTATAGTAGTGGTCCTATAGCTCTCATGATATACATCTGTAGTGTACTATATACAGTGTTTCTGTACTATTGAGAACCATTGGGGTTTAGGTAGGTCAACCTCTAGTGTGTTAGTGTCATTATGGCACTTTATTAAAACATAAAATGATTACAAGCTGTAAGCCAACTTCAAATGCCCTTTTTTTATTTTTTTTTTTATTTCTGTTTATGTGGGAGAATGCTTAGAACCTGTCTGCTTTTTGCTGCTCTCTGTAACCCCGTTCCACAAGGAAGTGGTAGGGTAGAGCTGGAACATTTGTCAGGAATTCTGAAACTTTTGAGTTATATGCTGCAGCCTACATGAAGTTTAGACACTGTTAAACAGGAAGAAAAAGGGAAAGACCAGCTCCTGTATAATAATGTCTCTGATGGTCATTCGTCAGTTTTTTGGTAGTGACCTAAGAGATTGGACACCTTTTCTGTAGCTCTGATGGGGGGGGGGAAAAAAGTCTACCTACAGTATTAATAAATCAATATATTTATATTAGCGTTTAGCCTTTTCTTTAAAGTGATATTAAAGGCTGATTTTATTTATTTATTTTTAGCAAGCTGGTGTGCCCCTGGCTTGCTATAGGGGGGCACCCGAGCAGGCTTTCTCCTGAGCCATTGCTCTGTCCATTCAGACACGGAGCACGACTCGGTACCACCCCCACTCTCACCTCATTGGATCACTGGCTGTGATTAACAGGAGCCAGTGGCTCCTGCTGCTGTCTCAGCCAATGAGGAGGGAGAGAGAACCCAGAAAGCTGCTTCTCTCATGTGCACATTCTTGGATTGAGATGGGGATCAGGTAGGTTTTGTGGGGCTGCTGCACACAGAAGGTGTTTTGTTTTTTTTTTTTTTTTTTTTTTTATTTTAATACCTTCATGCAGTGAAAACCTTGAGCCTTTACAACCACTTTAATGTCTTTAGTCAACAATTTTTTTTTGTCTGTTTGCAAGTATCAAAATTCCTGTAAGGAGCACTATATAACCCAACTGTTTTAGTGTTCCTGATTTCCTATGCCTCTTGTTGGACTTTAAGAAAAATGTTTTACTGGAAGTACAAAAATCTCATTATTTCCATCTTTGTCTTCCTTTGATGGCAAGACACTCTGTCTCATTTACTTGCCCTGGTGAGAGTAAATTTCTTCAGTGAGGAAGCAGACAGCAATAAAAAAAAAATGACTGAAGTTTCTTCTGGAATTTGGCTTTATTTTATTACCTAAACTTGTGATTTCTTGCTGAAGTGTGTTATATAAAAAGAAAGCTAGGCTGCAAAAATAAAAATATGGTCTCTCTTTATTCAGCCTGGTGAAAGGCATCTTCAGAAAAACATTTTACTATGTTATAACCAAGTAGAAGCAGCTCAGTGTTATCCTATGCGTCCTTGCACATTAGGACGCTTAGAGGAATATTTTAAGCTTCGCATTTAGAGGCTGGAAAAAACCCTTCTGGTTTGCGTTTTTGATTGGAGTTTTCTGGAATTAAAAACACTAAACACTCCTAAACGTGTTAAAAAATGCTCTATATGAGGTTTTTTTTTTTTGTTTTTTTTCTGCCAAGGGAACTGGTGTGGTTTTTTTTTTTTGGGGGAGGGGGGGGGGGGGGGGGGTTTAAGCCCAGTATGCACGGAGCCTTAGTATATTTTGTGTTGTTACTTATCAAATATAAATTACATTTTATGCAAAAATAATTTTTTATAATGTATTTCATCTGCACAAATACGAGCAACATTGTAAAAAAGCACACTTAAATGCAAAGAATTTCATTTTTGTTCACATTGAATATCATAATCGTCATTCTTGGAATTAATGTAGAATGTTTAAAGAGCATTGGTGGTGTGTCTTTTTTTTTTTTTCTGCTACAAGGTCCTTTTCAAATATGTTGGTTATTATTCCTGCCAGCAAATTTTAGAAAACCCCACTTTGTGTTTGCTATGTGTTCCTATTCACACAGCATACCCTATATATTATATATATATATATATATATATATATATATATATATATATATATATATATATATATATATATATATATATATATATATATCTAATATATATATATATGGGATATATATATATAAATTAAATTCTAATACTGGGATTTATCAAACATAATTATAAAACAGTGTAGTGCTCAAAACAAATATATGTGAAACCTCAGCTATTACCTCATAAAGGTATTAATAAACTGAATGTATCCAAAACAGAATATACATAAAATCACAAAAAATCAGCAAAGTGAATAATTCATACCCATAGATTAAAGTGTTACTAAACCCAAAACCATAAAATCAGTCTGTATATGCAGTAAAGCATGATTGTTATACTCACTCTGGAATCTAAGAGGTTAATCCTCTGCATTGTGTAAAAACGCTGTTTGATTTTGACTTCCCTGATCCTCCCCTTCTTCCAGTGTCCCCCCTTATCTCCTGATAAGACATATATCGTGTGGAGTTGCAATTCCCATGCTCAGTTTGGTGTGTATTGCTAGGGATTTTGTTTTCTTGTGAGAGAGCATGTGAGATCTGCACAGGGCCAATAAGCACTGTCCAGACAGAGGTCAGGGGTTCTGTATCCTTCTAGAGCAAAATGAAAATGCCTCTTACAAGCTTTAACCAGTGCTTGGCTGAACACTGATAGAAGTCACAAGACTGCTGATGAGAAAAGGTATTTAGCAGTGTATATTTACCAAAATAATTGCACTTTCATGTCCTGTGTACTGTGGGAGACCAAATGTAGTGAATGCAGGGTCCTGGGTCTAGTAACACTTTAAAACGTGTCACCCCACACCGTGCTCAATAGAAGCTTACCAGATGTATTTGACCCCCAGTTTACTGAGTGTTCAAAAACAGCTTAATGATATCAGATAGTGTCAGTCTCAGCCTCCCTCCACACCATCAGGTATGACGCCTGAAGCATCCATATGCTTCATAATAGTCAATAGCTCTCTATGTGTCAGGCATCCAGTTGTAACATGTGTGAAACAAAAAGGCTTTCCACAGTGTAAAACCGTAACTAAAGATTTTTATTAGAATAAAAATTGCACTTACAAGGTACCAGGTAAAATACAGCACTGTACAAACAAACTCCCAACCTATTCCCACATCAAAGATGGCCGTGACTATGCGAGGTGATGTATGCCCAGGATCCGCCCACATATAATTGTTTGAATTATGTGCATGTAATCACATTTTTTTTATTTATCTATATATTTAAGTTATGAGTGAATTATTCACTTTGCTGACTTTTATTGATTTTATTTATATTCTGTTTGGAACACATTCAGTTTTTTGATATCTTTGGTTGGTAATAGCTGGGTTTTCACCTATATTTGTTTTGAGCACTACACTGCTTTATAATTCTATATATAAAATACCCATATTTTTTCTGCCTTTTTACTTAGGAGTCCTACTTCTCTTGCTGGACTTAAAAATGTACATTTTCATCATGTTGTCAGTTGTCATGGATAATGCTAAATGAGTCCTTTTCTCTTCAGAGGTTTTGTCTACTGTCGAAATGAAGAGTTGGAGGCTGGCTGGATCGCTTATGGAAATGGGAAGCTTCTTCATCGGCCAGCATCTTTCGATAACAAACCTCATTTCCTTTTCCAAATAATTGACCAGTACACCCTTCAGGTAAACAAAGGGATTTGTAATAGACTTGCTTGGATTGATGAAAAAAGGTCTTCTGTAATTATAATTGGGTAAATGTGAGGTTGTAAAGAACACATTAATCTGGCATTGTAGTCTGGACAACAAATTAAATGGTTATTGGGAATCCGAATACACAAAGTAGTCTTTTGCTGTTTCTTTTATGTGTGAAATTAAAGGTTTTTTCTTCTATTCAGAAAGATATTACAAATGGTACCAATGAGTATGTGTCCAATTTAACCCCCACCCTTAAAGTGATATTAATGGCAATTGAAAAAAAACAAACAAACATGTTCTGCTTAACTGCTCTGTGCAGTGGTTTTGCAAAGAGCAGACTTTTCTCGGTATGGTGGCACCCAAGCCCCCCCCATTGGCTCACTGGCTGTGATTGAAGGCAGTGGAAGCCAATGAATGCAGTAAGGTAAAAAACCTTGAGCCTTTACAACCACTTTAAAGCAGAGTTCCAGTCAAACTGTGAAAAAATAAAAGTTAGCAGCTGCAAAAACTGTAGCTGCTGACTTATAAAAAAAAACAGCCACTCACTTAGCCCATGATCCCGCGGTGCCCCCGCCGCAACCCGTTTCACCAGCCGTCTGGTGTTCCGGGCGCCGGCATCTTCAGTGTGGGCACCCGGCTCTGACAGCTTGCTGCTTCACAGCCGGGTGCCCACTGCGCATGTGCGAGTAGCTTAGCTCTTCCTGAGTGGTCACGTGTCCCAGAAGACTACGGGGAGGGAGGGGGAGGACAACTTCTGCTTCTGATCATAGCGAATGTGGGAGCAGGTACCTGTCAATTTCAGGTACCTGCTCCCCAAAGGTGCCAATCCTTAATGGAGAGTGGGGGACCAGTCTTTAAAGCTGACCTGCCCCTTTTAAGTGGAACTCCGCTTTAACTTAGTAAAAAACGTTTAACATCTGTAAAGTGTAAAGAATAACTCAACCTGTTTGACAAAGCTTCTGGAAAAATGACTTCTCTATTGTCTATCTAAGGACACAGCCTAAAGGAGTTCTGTGCTCATTGCACACACTTCTAATTTTTAGCATCAGCACTGTAGTAGCAATACAGACAATAGTTATTTATAATAGCCTGTTGGCCATTTCTTTCCACAACTTTCTGCATTTCTGCAAAGCATGCTTCTCATCTGTTGTTTACTTTGAATTTCTACATATGACTACATATCAGATGGTACCTTGCTGCCTACAAGCAGTGAATCTGGTGCTGACTGTGCCTTCTGAAACTCTTCCTGTTAGTATCTCGGTAGTTTCCGATGGCAGGCTCTGTGAAATGCGTGACACCGAAGTGCCTGCTCACAGGGCATTATGAACACGTATCACGCAATTCAAGGAAGCAAATGTGTGGGGATCTTCACAGAATAAGTTTTCAAACGTCAGAATTAATAGTAGTAGGCTAAAAATAAGTGAAATACAATGTGGAAGTGAGTATATGATTTTAAACTTTGGCTATAGATAAGCTTCAATGATAAGCAACCTAGGGTTTTACGCCTACCTACAGGAGAATTGGACACTAGGCACATAGAAAACTATAGGCCATATAGAGCCTGTAAGGCATACTGAGCTGGCCAAGTGCAAGCATTTCTGTTCTGCCATATGCCTTACATTGGTGGCAGCGAAAGGGTTAACGGACACAGTGGACCAGAGCATATACCATTTTGGAGTTCCTGCACCTGCCATCCAATTGGTCACACAGTTGTCCTCTCTTTACCCTTTGGTACACGTCTGTTCAGCTGGTCATATTTCTGGGGACCTGATCAGCACCCTTCTCTTAAAAGGGTTGACAGGCTTTTATTTTTACGAACATGTCTGGCATTAAATGCGAGGGTGTTTGCCCTGTAGATGCAGGCAACCCACCTTACTCAGGACCAAACTCTGAGCAATATTGAGCCTATCACAGGCAGAGATTGTGTCTTGTACACTTCTTAAAGGTCATAGTCAGTACCTCCTGTGCCATTGGCTATTGCAGAACCCCCTCTTCATCCGAAGGTACTTATTCCTTTTCTGCCTTTGCAAGGAGCTAAAAGTGAAGTGTGACCAAAGCTTTCTTTAGCCATACTTCTCTTTTGGAGTGTACTTATTTCTGTAACAGTGAGCTCTTGAGGGGCAGAGCTGAGAGCATTGATTGATAATCGCTGTTCTCTGCTCAGAGCAGACCGAAAACGGAGTGATCAGCAGTCATTTGATTGTTCAGTTCTCGGTCTTAGAGCTGGTAGGGTACAGCTGCAGTAGTGGACCGATGTTGCAGCCTTATAGGTATGTATATTAATTTTTTGTGATTTCCAACAATTCTCTGTTAAATGCTCACTGCTACCTTCCCCAGAGGATTCTGACGCAGAGAATAAAAAAAATAAATGTACATTTTTCTTATAGGTAAAAAAATGTGCATTTACTGGGTTGTTTTTTTTTTTTTTTGTTTTTTTTTTTTTTTTTTTTTTTTTTTTTGGTTTAGGAGCCTGGAAAGCATTGCACCAGCAATCAGCAAATCACTAGTGCCATGCAGAACTCCTGCAGATTGTCCGTGTAATCTGTATGCCCGTACATCGTACAGGCAGGCAGTTTTAAACTGACAGCAAGGATCAATGAAACAGCACTGCGGTAGTTCATTGAGGATTACAAGCTGACAGCCTCAAAAGATGTCGGAACTTGTAGTTCATTCACAGCGCTCTCTTCAAAAAGTGACAGCTGGTATGGGGAACTTCTCCCTGTACTGCTGTCACACCAGGTGATTGAATCCCAGAGCGGCTGCAGGAACGGGTGGAACATATAACATGTTCCCGAAGATTAACTTCTCTTTTAGAGCTGATAAATCTTGTTCTTGAAATATTAATCTGCTGAAGTGGTTGTAAAAGTAGAATATTTTATTACCTTCATGCATTCTATGCATGATTGTAAAAAAACCTTCTGTGTGCAGCAGCTCCCCCAGCCCCCTCAATACTTACCTGAGCCTCATCGCAATCCAGCGATGTGAATGACAGCCTAGGCTGCCCTGGGCTTCTCCCTCCTCATTGGCTGAGACAGCAAGTGGGAGCCATTGGCAGCCGCTGCTGTCATTCACCGTTGAGGAGAGAGAGGGAGTTGGGGCCAAGCTGCTGCTCCATGTGTGAATGGACACACGGAGCAGCGGGTGCCCCCACAGCAAGCTGCTTGCTGTGGGGGCACCCGACAGACAGGAGGAGCCAGGAGAGCCTGTGGGGGTCCCGAGAAGAGAAGGATCCAGGCTGCTCTGTGCAAAACTACTGTACACAGCAAGTAAGTATAGACATGTTTGTTATTTTACAACCAAAAAATAAAAAAATGAATCTTTAGAATCACTTTAAGTTTATCAAAGGTGAAAGATTTATTTTTACTAGTGTGAGCCTCTGGGGGTTTATTCAACATGCATTTTTGGTGCACCCTGTTTGTTTTTGTTTTTTTTTTTCCTTTTTTAATTCTCCATTTGGGAGTAAAACAACATTTGGGTGTTAGCATGTTCAAAGATGTCTGCAGTTTCTGTTTTTCTCGCTAATCATTTGCTGATTCGTACTGTTATAGGAGGGATAACTCACATTGCTCCCCTTGTTAGGCCTTCCATTTTGACTATGGGATTTAATTCATATAATATAAGTGGTACAAAACCCCCCCCCCCTTCAAACCTTTTTGGGACATTTTCTTGGCCTTGTTATCCCCTAAGGTGGCCATCTTCTTGACAAGAAGGTTTTCTGAATTATCAGCGGTTTCCTGTAAGGAGCCTCTTTTGATATTGCTTAAAGGCAAAGTTGTTTTGTGACCAAGGGCCTTTTTTTTATTTCTTACTTAAAGTGGTCTTTGCCTTTCACTTTACTGAGGACATTGTATTATCTTTCCTGTGACAGACAGCGGTTCACCCCAATGCAATCTGTTCCTGACAACAGGCAAGGGCCGTCAAGGTTTAGCTTTTGGTCACAACTTCTTCCAGTCAAATGGATTCCCTTGTTTATTTCCAAAGGTTCTAAAAGTTCTTTTTCCATATCCACTATTTGCTAAGCAAATTAGACAGGTTATTGTGCAGGCCTATGAGCTTCAAGATAAAGTGCATGTTCTTCCCATGAATTCCCACTCCATTAGGGCAGGCAGTGTTTCTTGGGCTTTTCACCCCCAAGCCTCTGTGCCTCAGATCTGTATGGCTATGATCTGGTCTTTGTAAATGTTTTCCAAGCTTTACAAGGTCAGTGTGTCGGCCTTCACAGATGCTAGTTTTGGTTGAAAGGTTCTGCAAAAAGCTATTTCATGTCTGTGTTTTTCCTTTTTGTTTTTTTTACTTATGTGATTGGTTTATCTGTTTTGGTGTCATCGGCCCATCGGTTTGGATCAAAGACATGGTTAAAAGCATGACAGTGGTTCTTACCATTCCTACAAAGAAAAAAAAACAAGTTTTGTCTGGGGTTCCACTTTGAGTATTATTTTCTGGAGACTTTCTAGCAAGTGTACTCTCCGATGCCGCTCCTAATAAACATCAGCCTGTTTAAAGATCCCCAGGCAATCTGGGTCATGCATTTGATCTCCTTTTAAAACTTAACTAATACGTTGTTATGAGACCCTCAGGACCAGGCAGTAACTTTTCTTTTATAAGGATGGCTATTGCTATACTGCTCATCCCTATTTGACAATATCCCCATTAGTTATTTAGCTGACGTATCGAATTGCTACATGCTTCAGCAAAATGTTATTTTAATTTTAAACTGCTGAACCAACAGCACACTCAGCAGTTTAAGCTTTAAAGGTAAATCCTACTGTAAACTCAACTGTGAATTTCAATAATTAAAGTGGTGCTAAAGCCTGCTTTTTTGTACCTACACTTTTTGTACCAACACTACCAACTACTACCCACACTACTCCCTCTTCTTAGTCTCACAGGAGACAGTGAGAGCAGCTGCTGTTAGTCAAATCCTGTGAGAAGGGAGAGGGGGCGTGGCTGAGCCATGCTGCATATGTCTATGGACACTTACAGCCCAGCTCAGGAGTACCGCCACACAGGTGCCCTCTCATTGCATGGGTGCCCTCTCATCATCACGGCTTGCTGAGGGGCACTCATGGAAAGGAGGAGCCGAGAGCGCCAGCGGGCATTTCCAGAAGAGGAAGCAAGGGGCCGTGTTGTGCAGTACCATTAGTAAGCACTTAGATAAGTGTAATATCTTTTTATTTTAAATTAAAAAAAGAAATCTATCCTTATAGGGCTCATTTACACTCTTAAACTTCAACATACATTAAAGCGCCTACCAACATGCTTTTTGATGTTATTATGATTCTTTTTTGAAGCTTTAATCAAGCTTAGCAAATACCGTGTGTGTGTGTTTTTAAAGGGGCCCAGTAGATCCCCAGCTCATTAGTACCCCCAGTCAGCAGATCCCCAGCTCATTAGTACCCCCAGTCAGCAGATCCCCAGCTCATTAGTACCCCCAGTCAGCAGATCCCCAGCTCATTAGTACCCCCAATCAGCAGATCCCCAGCTCATTAGTACCCCCAATCAGCAGATCCCCAGCTCATTAGTACCCCCAGTCAGCAGATCCCCAGCTCATTGGTACCTCGTTCAGCAGATAACCTGCTCATTGGTACTCCCGTTCAGCAGATAACCTGCTCATTGGTACTCTCGTTCAGCAGATAACCTGCTCATTGGTACTCTCGTTCAGCAGATCCTCTGCTCATTAGTACTCTCAGCTCTGCAGATCCTCCACTCAGTAGTAACCCCCAGCTCTGCTGATCCCCACTCAGTTGTAACCCCCAGCTCTGCTGATCCTCCACTCAGTTGTAACCCCAGCTCTGCTGATCCTCCACTCAGTTGTAACCCCCAGCAGCTCTGCTGATCCTCCACTCAGTTGTAACCCCCAGCTCTGCTGATCCTCCACTCAGTTGTAAGCCCCATCTGCTGATCTCATCCACTCTCGTTCAGTAACCCCCAGCTCTGCTGATCCTCCACTCAGTAGTAACCCCCAGCTCTGCTGATCCTCCACTCAGTAGTAACTCCCAGCTCTGCTGATCCTCCACTCAGTAGTAACCCCCAGCTCTGCTGATCCTCCACTCAGTAGTACTCCCAGCTCTGCTGATCCTCCACTCAGTAGTAACCCCCAGCTCTGCTGATCCTCCACTCAGTAGTAACCCCCAGCTCTGCTGATCCTCCACTCAGTAGTAACCCCTAGCTCTGCTGATCCTCCAGTTTGCTTTTCCTCCTCTCTTTGGTCCCCGCTCACCTCCTGTTATATTGCTCCCACCCTGCACAGCATGTGCGACATTGCTAGTATCTCTTGCTCCTTTCCCCCAGCTCTGCTGATCCTCTGTCACTCAATTCTCTTTCTCCGGTTGCCGCTCACTTTCTGCTATTGTGTTTCCATGTTATGCATCGTGTGTCATCTGCTCTACTGTGATCCAGACCCTGCTCACCTTCATGCTGCTCACCAGATGTGACGTCTGCACCAGACACTCCCAGTATATTCACATGAACTGGAAGTGACTGCTGATGACATCTTTCTGCGAGCCAGCTGTTGTACAATATCAGAGACAATCTAAAATCTCATGGAAAGAACAATGGAGGCTGTCATAGCCACAAAGCTGGTGAGGGGAGGTGGTTAATGGCAACATGTCTATGGTTTCAAATGAGATGTCTACAAAACTCATCTAGACATTATGGTCAGGTGTCCACAAACCTTTAACTATATAGTGTATGAGTTAGAAATATGTTATGTTGCTTTAGTTAGAAAATATATGTTACGGTATGCTTTCAACCTGTTATCTAGTGAAAAGGGAGACGGAATGCACAGACAGAATAGCCTTTTGTTATAATATATATATAGCATTTATTTGCAATATATTCTTTTCCTCAGCAGTACACATATTTTAAAAGTCCATCAGTGGCTCTATTAGCTTTAAATCTGGATGGAAAGGTTCACTTTCTGGTTATCTGTGCTTCCTGAGATCTCATAATTGCAATATATCAAAAATAAGGAAAGCTAAATAAAAGCCTCTCAAAAGCTGCAGATGTTGGTGAGCTTTGTCATAGACTTCTATCGAGGCTTTGAAAATGCTTTGAAGCACCAAGAAAGCGGCATGGGGTAAAATTTTTAAAGCAAAGTGTAAACAGGATTGTACGCTTACCATTTTATTTAGTGACAGGTGCTTTGATTGGCATTCAGACCGCTTTAAAAAAGGGTGTCTGAAGCCACATTTTGAAGTTAGTGTAAGCAAGCCCTAAGCCTTTTTTTCACACAACTTACAATAAGGGTTTTTGTAAGCTGTTAAATACTGTATTTACCTTTCTTTTCTTTTTTTTTTTTTCTTTTTTAAATCAGAATAGTATGTGCTGAAACCTTTGCTTGTAAAAGTGATAGTATTGCTTTCTTTGTTCCTCTCATCAGGACAGATCACATTGGAAGTAAAGAATTCCCATTACTGGGGACGCAGACCACAGTAAAGACTTGGCGGGTCCTTTTTTTTTTTTTTTTTCTTCTGTTAAAGTAGCAACTACACATTTTAATAAAATTATGGATATATTCGTTTGTATTTAATAGCTTGCAATTGGTGAGAAAATGGACACTGCTACTTTTTATCAGTAACAGCATGTATGCAGTGGGCTGAAGTTTTCATTGTGCATCATTTAAAGTGGCTGTAAAAACCCTTATATACCCAGTGAAGTGACTGTCCTCAGGTGATACAGAGATGAAACGAATTCCTCTGTATAAGTTGTACCTTTTTATTTACATCCCTCTCTTCTCTACAGTTCAAAGTGCAGAATTTTTGTAGCTTATTTGAGCTTTCAAAAAGCAGGGGGCGGGAAGCTGAAGTTACACTTTGGAGAGCTCAGTGAGAGCTGATTGGGGAAAGGGACACCCCCCTCTCTTCACAGCACGCAGGAAAAGAGCTGAGGCTAACAATCACAGACTATGTGCTGCAGCTGCCTTCCCTATCCGATTTTTTTCTCTTGGTGTCAGGAAAACCTGTCAGAAGTGACTCATGCAGATAGCAGACAAAGGAGGCAGCAGACTTAAATGACGCTTAGCGCTCTGGATTGAGACAAGTACACTCTAGAGGGATTTGCTTTGTTCACATTTCATGTCAGAGGTGTTCAACGTTAAAGTATAACTGAACTCTGAAATGTGTACCTTACCAATGATCTTTCACCATTACTGACTTACCACGCTTTGTTCTGCACTGCACTGCACTGCCTCTCTGTGTGACGGCAACCCTCTTGGTAGACCAGATCTTGCTTCCCTTTCTCAGACCTTCCATCACGGTGAACAATGGGCAGCAAATTGTGATTTTTTTTTTTTTTTTTTTTTTTTTTTTTTTTCCAAATCTCACTCCAAATGTTCTCAGATTAGCAGTTAGAGGCACCATTGCCTTAAAGTGAGTTCACCTTTAAGAAAAGGCACACTATGCAGTCCCATATGGGTTCAGCAGCATACTGTGATTAGCCTACCTTCCATCCAGAGCTTTCATAAAGCCTAAAGAATGTAGGCCAAAAACACATTCAAAAGCTTTTCTAAAATCATCTGAGTTATTGTAGGCACAGAGCACCCATTGCGAGCAGCGTTCACTAGTGCCACAGGAGGAAACACTGTCCTGTTGTGCAGTGAGTACCTTCTCCTGTTGCAACCACTGAGCAAGTGCGCATGTGTGGCCCAAAAGAACAGGACAGTGCTCCTTCTTGCGTCACTAGGTGATGATCCCAATGACTACTCTGTACCTACAAAACCTCAGAATGGGGCCATGACAAGATGAAGAAGATTTTAAGAAGGCTTCTTTTTAATGCTGTTTTGGCCTACATTAGTAAAACCGAAAGGGATCACTAACTGGAAGCTAGGGTTAGCACACTATCTGCTATAGCCATAGGACAGCACAGTGTGCTTTTTGATAAAAGTGAACATGCACTTTATTATTATACGGCATATATACAGCTATATGACGGTAAGTACAGGAATGCCTAGGCACCCTCATATAGTGGGAAGTTCACTGCTACTTTTATAAGAGGAATTCAAAATAAAATGCACATTTTTAGTTCAGGTCCACTTTAACTCCTTGATTTTTAATCAGCTTTTTTTTTCTGTTTGCAGATCGCTCAGATAATCACCATGCCAGCCAATCATTTTCCTGTTGGTAGCAACATGACCACCGTGCACCTATCTTCTGATGGCACCTACTTTTATTGGATTTGGTCTCCAGCAAGTCTAAATGAGAAGACACCTAAGGGTCACTCTGTTTTCATGGATATCTTTGAATTAAATGTAAGTTGTGACTTTTGTTACAACATTAGGATTCATCTGTCTTGAATTAAGGATTGTGAGTGTCCGTTTTGTCAGAATCTATTGCTAGCTTTCTTCGGAGTGGTACACCTTTTAGCCTTATAATTTTTCCTGTTTACTGTCTACCATCCACAGATGCTGCTCTAGGTACTGCATGCTGCATTTTCTGGGGCAGTTGTGCTTTAAAGTGTTCACCTCTTAAGAAAAATGAAAAAGTGAGGGGATTGCTATGGTTTAAGAATGGGATGTCCAATAACTCATACAGGTGTTTGTAGTTGTCCACATTTTGTCCATGTATAGTGCGTATGGTGTAGCTGCCTTCATGATAAACAAGACATGGCTGTTACATCTTTTTTACGTATTTATTTGACTGTTCCATTTGCTTCTAACACTGGTCTGTGTACTCCTATCTTAGGGAGAAAATGGAGTGCACATGGCGAGCCCTCTTCATGAGCGCATTATACTCATGAGGAAAGAGGGAGAGTCAGCAAAAAGTATTAATGAAATGCTCCTCAGTCGGTTATCTAGATACAGAGCTTCTCCATCTGCAACGCTCGCTGCTCTAACTGGATCAACAATCTCAAATACACTGAAAGAAGACCAAACTGGTGAGTGCAATGATGTCTGCCATATGTACTAGACAATGCTATGTAGTGCCATTTTTCTGCTCATGGTTGAACATTATAGCTACAGTATACTAATCCATATCTAAATGCCTTGGAGGCATTGTCAGATTGGTAGCTTTCCCAGGTGCTCAAATCTTATTTGTGAAATTATTGTCTCCTTTTACACTTTATAACTGCTTTATTCAAGTATTGAATGTCCATTAGTATCTCTGTACTTCTAATAGTATCTTAAAAGTAGTGTTAAACCTTCCAGTTTTTTTTGTTTAACACAATGACCACCACAATAAAATAATCATTCCACAGTAAACTACAGTCAGGTCCATCCACCACAGTTGTTTTCCGTGGTCTTCCGGGTCTTTTGGTGTTGCTGAGCTCACCGGTGCGTTCCTTCTTTTTAAGAATGTTCCAAACAGTTGTTTTGGCCACGCCTAATGTTTTTGCTATCTCTCTTATGGGTTTGTTTTGTTTTTTTCAGCCTAATGATGGCTTGCATCACTGATAGTGACAGCTCTTTGGATCTCATCTTGAGAGTTGACAGCAACAGATTCCAAATGCAAATAGCACACTTGAAATGAACTCTGGACCTTTTATCTGCTCATTGTAATTGGGATAATGAGGGAATAACACACACCTGGCCATGGAACAGCTGAGAAGCCAATTGTCCCATTACTTTTGGTCCCTTAACAAGTGGGAGGCACATATGCAAACTGTTGTAATTCCTACACCGTTCACCTGATTTGGATGTAAATACCCTCAAATTAAAGCTGACAGTCTGCAGTTAAGCACATCTTGTTCGTTTCATTTCAAATCGATTGTGGTGGTGTATAGAGCCAAAAATGTTAGAATTGTGTTGATGTCCCAATATTTATGGACCTGACTGTATGTGTTTAAAATTTTTACCCTGGCACTTGCAGTTTACAACTAGCCATTTGCTTCTGCTCTTAGTGCTGCTTCCCTGAACTTTTGGACTTCACAGGAAGGAGTTGACAGTGCAGTCTCCAGTTATTCTGTCATCTTGGAGATGGGAGGAGCTGGGGAGTTTTTTTGCGATTGTAGAGCTATGTGTTTCTATTGATGTACGTAGCATAGGGAGACTCAACTCAACTTAGGCGATTTCTGAAAACTTATCTCTTCAAGGAAGCCTATCCTGCCCTCAGCTAATAATGGAATTTTCTACTCCTCCTACCAGTCCATTCCCCACAGTTACTACTAAAATACCTTTTGTACCACTAGCCCCTCCCTCCTAGATTGTAAGCTCCAAGGAGCAGGGCCCTCCTATCCCTCTTGTTTTGAACTGTATTGTTGCTGTATTGTCTCCTGTTATATTGTAAAGCGCTGAGCAAACTGTTGGCGCTATATAAATCCTGAATAATAACTAGTTCCTGCATACAAGGATGGCTCCATAGGATACTGCATGAGAATTGAGCCACCCTGAAACAAGATAACCAGGGCATTGTTCATGGCACTAACTTTACCTGGAATATAGACAAAGATTAAAAGATAAAGAAGCTGCCTACTTAGTAAGTGATTAAATCAACTGCTGAAAATGTTAAAAAAAACAAAACCAAGGGTTTTCTATTGCTCTAATAAAGTCATGCAGTCCACGGTGGCCTAAATGAGGATTTATAACCTTTACCACTCAATTTTGTTATCCCAGAAGGCCTATGCTTGATATCCAATGAAGTCTGTGAAATGCAATCAAATCCAAGGCCTGCCAAGTGCAAGACCACCTGTATCGACCAGTTTGCCACAATGTTGGTAGTACAGTTAGCTCTTTCCAATCTGTTGATGCTGCAAAAAATAGCGATGGTTGTATTTCTACATGTAGCTTAAAATAGAGCTACCGTATTTTTCGCTCCATAAGACGCACCTGACCATAAGACGCACCTAGGTTCTAGAGGCAGAAAACGGAAAAAAAAAAATTCTGAACTAATGGACTGCAGACATAGTACAGGAGATGACCAGAGACTGCGGACACAGTTCAGGGGATGACCAGAGACTGCGGACACAGTTCAGGGGATGACCAGAGACTGCGGACACAGTTCAGGGGATGACCAGAGACTGCGGACACAGTACAGGAGATGACCAAGGACTGCGGACACAGTACAGGAGATGACCAGAGACTGCGGAACAGTACAGGGGATGGACCAGAGACTGCGGACAGTGCAGGAGATGACCAGAGACTGCGGACAGTGCAGGAGATGACCAGAGACTGCAGACACAGTGCAGGAGATGACCAGAGACTGCGGACACAGTACAGGGGATGACCAGAGACTGCGGACACAGTACAGGGGATGACCAGAGACTGCGGACACAGTACAGGAGATGACCAGAGACTGCGGACACAGTACAGGGGATGACCAGAGACTGCGGACACAGTACAGGGGATGACCAGAGACTGCGGACACAGTGCAGGGGATGACCAGAGACTGCGGACACAGTGCAGGGGATGACCAGAGACTGCGGACACAGTGCAGGGGATGACCAGAGACTGCGGACACAGTGCAGGGGATGACCAGAGACTGCGGACACAGTGCAGGGGATGACCAGAGACTGCGGACACAGTGCAGGGGATGACCAGAGACTGCGGACACAGTACAGGGATGACCAGAGACTGCGGACACAGTACAGGGATGACCAGAGACTGCGGACACAGTACAGGGATGACCAGAGACTGCGGATAGTACAGGGGATGACTGCTGACCTTTGGGGAGGGGGGGGGAGCGGGTACCTGAATTTGACAGGTACCCGCTCCCACTTCCGCGGAGTTGTTCTTTCATCTTACCTGTTCCTCTATCCAGCCGCGCGCTGTCTTCCCGGCTTCTGTAATGGCGCTCGGCATGACAGCCGGGTGCCCAGTGCGCATGAGCGAGAAGCACTTGCGCTTTGTGATTGGTCCGGCGGCTTCTGGGATCTGTCATGTGTCCCAGGTGCCGCCTTACCATTCACAAAAAGCACCGCTTCCTGCGCATGCGCACTTGGCACCCGGCTGTCATGCCCACACTACAGAAGCCGGGAAGACCGCGCCGCTGGATAGAGGAACGGGTAAGATGAAAGAACAACTCCACGGAAGTGGGAGCGGGTATCTGTCAAATTCAGGTACCCGCTCCCCCCCCCCTCCCCAAAGGTCAGCAGTCATCTCTATAAGGTTCCGCTGTAGAGCTGAGCGGCCGGCCCGGTATTCTGACACGGCGGCAGTGGAAATACCGGACCGGCCGCTCCATATTCGCTCCATAAGACGCACTGACATTTTCACCCCTTTTTTGGGGGGAAAAAGTGCGTCTTATGGTGCGAAAAATACGGTACTTTATCTTTATATAAAAAATATTTTTTTAAATGGTCTCTGTCACATTGTGCAAAATTAAAAAAAAAATGTAAATGCTTATTGGAATGCAAAAGTATTTTTATATAACTTTTCTTACAGCTGCAAACACAAGCTGTGGCCTTCCCTTGAAAATGTTAAGAAAAACTCCCATGTACACATGCGGCACATATTTGGTACTTATAGTACCTCCCCCAGGAGGATCAGGCAGTTCTGCAACTAGGTCTTTGTTTGGTGGAACTACTGGCTTGTCGTCTCTAAAAAGTAAGTACTGTGAAATGTGTCCTGATGCTTCCAGATGCAACTGCAGCCCTTCCCATTTTGAAATTCTAGTCCCCTGGCTGTCATTCCGATACATTTTGTACTTTCTTAGTTACTGTCCCTGAAAATTATGCAAATTACGAGTTATGACTTCCCTTTGACTTTCCTGACTTGTATTTTTGATCCTGGCCAGCATGTCTGAAAGTTATCAGAGAAAATCAGACAGCCAGGAAGCTGGATTTTTCAAAAAGGCATGCAAGGGCAACCTTCATATGTTTTCCCAGTACAGGTTTTGTTTCATCACTTTAAAAACTTTGCTAGGAACTGCGTTTATTTAAAATGACCACATATTTATAATTTTTTTACATTTGTTGTGGTGTCCTTTATGCTTTCACTAAGAGCTTGATAATGGAGCAAGGAAAAGGAAGCCTGTGTAAGCCCTGTGACACTCCAGTTGTAGTTCCCATGGGGCTGAGATTTGTCTTTCCTTCTCATGTGACAGTGCTAGGCCAAGCACCAGGCACCAGCACTGATGCATGAGGAAGAGGACCAAGTCACTTGCTCCTCTGTGTGTCTGAAGGTACTGGGGTTTTTTTCTGCTCACTGCATGTCCATGTATTGACAAGTTTGATTTAAAGTGTAAAGATTAACTTTTTTTTGTATAGTACAGTTTGTGTTCTCCCCAAAGTGACCCGAGTTCCCATTTTAGAGGGTTGTCATAGAAACTAATGTCTCCATTGAAGGATTTTCCTTCACTTGTTGCTTTGAGAACGCCTAATTTTTGTGTTTCCCCATCATTTTCTCGCTCAGTGACAGTGGTCACTGAGACATATAGAAGTGCTTGCAGCCCCTGACATTTTTTTTCCCCCATCTGTGTCCCATTTAGGAGATTTCAATTTATTTCCTGTTCCATAGCTAAAACAGGAAGTGAGAGGATATTGCTCCAAAGTGTGGAAATCCCTGGTTGTCACCAGGGTTTCCTGAACTAATGCCCGTCCGTTGGATTTTTTTTCTCCATATTACTGTACTGGGGACAACCTAAAATTTGAGATTTTTTTCTCACTCTTGATGAGAGCAGTAAACATAAATAAATATAAATAGGGTGACTCTAACTAAGGGCTCATGTACACTGCAGCTCTTAAACTAATGTTCAGGAGCTGTTCAGCGGTTTTTCCAGCAGCCCTTGAACTTTCCCTAATGTTTTCCTATGTGTCCATGTACACAGTCATT